CCACAGCCGACAAAGCCCCTACAGGGAGGTTGCAGAGTCTGTTGGAGCACTCAGGACCCTGACACATACACGAGGAGACACATTTGAATGAAAAATCCCAACTGCTTATGTCCCAGCTGTCTGAATTTCAGAATTTACATCCTTTTTTTTGTTTTGTTTTGTTTTAAATGAATTAGCAAGCAGTGCCTAAGCTCTCTCACCTATTAGTGCTGGCTGCTGTTAGGCGACACATCATGGGAGGCATTTGGCTACCTTGGCCTAACTGTTTGGCCACTACCCTCTTTTTTCCTCATCTCTCCGCAGTGTAGGCTTCCTGTAGTTGTGTTGGCTTTAGTGGGGCTCTAGTTCACAGTATTCTGTGTTGACTTCGTGAGTTATGGGAGACTATTTAGTTCAGACTCAGTCTTCACTTTGCAACTATTTATGTGTAGCGATTGAATGATGACTCAGGGTACTCTGTTAGGCGCTGGAAGCTGATGTTGGCAAGATATATACTCCACTACTTTTTAAAAAGAATGACAATAATGAATCTAAAGCTCTGAAAATCCTGGCTGTAAAACAGTGGAGTCCTTACTCCAAGCTAGACTGTAATGTTTCCCTTCTTTAAAAACATGCAGAATAAAATTATTTTCTTGTAACAACTTTTAAGGCACTGCCAAACCTCCCAGGCAAAGAACACTTCTGCATAACTGGCCTTTTCAGAAAAATGCTATGAGAATAGAAGACTTTGTAGCTTCCCCTGAAGACAGCTGCCTTGGGCTCTGTCAAGGAGATAAATTCCTGGTAAAGTGGTTTAGTCTCTGAAAAAAAGCTTTCTTCAAAGGGTTGATAAAGGAGAGTTTCTGTATTGAAAATGGGATGTAATCCTTTTTCAGCAGAAGAGGGATGTGACAGATGGCCTCATTACAAGTTTTTCAGTACAGAGTTGGTAGCCTATAATGATCAGGGGTTTCATCTGGGTGAAGGACACGCTATGGACAGCTAAGTGTCTCTGTGTATAATGGTTTCTTCTGGTTGTTGCAATGGAAATAGATTATTTAGGGAAGCAAAACTTGCACATTTGCTACAGTAGATCATATGTGTGCATCAAGATATCTCAGGCTGGATGACAAAACAGAGAGAGCGATTTTTGCATTAGCTTTTTCATTAGCTGTTACCTACATTAACTGCCTTCCTCCCCCTCTGTCTTTTCTCTCCCTTAAAGAATTGTGGTATCTTGAGGTGATGGAAATCATGTTATTCTGGCTGTAGTCTCACAAGTGCTAGAAGAGTTTCTGCCATAGTATTTTGGTCCTGGCTTGCAGATGGATGGTTGGTAACAACTTCTTTGTACATTTGCAACGTTGTGTTACCCCATCGTATAAACTTTCACAGAGTAAGCACCGTGGATCCCATCCTTAGCTACTCTCATGCAACTTCACTGACGTCAGAATTCAGCCTAAGACATGTGCCAGCTTGCCCAGTAGACTGCTAACTATTTCCACCTTCTTTCCTTCTTTATGTTCAAAGTTTTTTGGATTACTTAGTGGTTCGAATAATACAGTTTCAAAGCTGTTTTACCAGCTTCTGGAAGTGAATTTGGCCATTCAGGAAGATAGCAAAGTCAGCTTTGGGTTTGAAACACTGGAAGAGTCAGCGCGTGATTTATGTCCAGCATAACAAGTTATGTTCCTTAGGAGGTGCAACTTGTACTTCTGTATGGGGAAGATTAGACACGTTGTTTATGGCAAACCTGATGATGCATGTTAGAATATTCATTGACATTACAAAAGAGATATTTGATTTAAAAACAGGTTAACAAAAAACTGTATCTTCAAAACAGCTGAGGCATTGTTTCTGAGACCTGTAGATAAGCTAATGGTGGCCACACACTGTTTTATGACTATAAGTGCTTGTAAACTTATTCAAATGCAGGATGTTCAGGAATTATGCAAGTTACTTTATTGATGCTGCCTTGGGATTTTTTTTTTTCTTTTGACTAAATAATCTTGAATATACATATACCTGTTTGATCCTGAATATACGTTTGCTATTTTTCATTGTTTCTTTCTTAAAAACTCAACTTTACTGTGCATTTTCCTGTTCTTTCCAATATAAAGTGGAATGGTTTGAAGCCATGGAAATTCAGTAACTGCTCGTCAGAATATAAGGATACAATTACCTTGTGCAACCTTATGTCCACTAGAGATGCAGTGCTCTGAACATCCAGCACAGACACAGGACAGATAATATATGCAGAAACAGGAGGAACACATGGCTCTGTTACCGGTTAGCGGTTATGGCTGTGTGTGAAGACTTGGATATAGATCATATGTGCTGCAATGATATTGCTTTCTCTAAAGAGGTGACTGTCTATTCGCTTGAAATATTTGGAGTACATCAGGCATGCCAGTGTTTTGGTATTGAAGTGCATGTGATAATTAAAGGGAAAAATCCTGAATTCTGATGAATGTTATGCTAGAATGTTCATGCTTTAACAGGTCTAATGGATGACACTAATTCTCTAATGTCAGCAAGAAAGGCTTTAAATTTATCTTTGCTCTTCAATGTTCCAATTAAACTAATTCTAGCCATCACTTAGTTTGAAGTTATGCAATGATTTTACAAGCTGGCTATCTTTACTGTTGTAGGAAGAACAGCAGCAACTGCTTAAGCTAGAAAATGAACAACTTCAGGTGGAGAAACTACAGAAGCAGAAGGAATGCAGGGATATATTGCTCAGTGCAGCACAGGACAAGAAGAATCGTCTTAATGAAGAAAAACAAGGTGAACTTGCCCTAGAGATGAAGATCTTAGAAAAATCTCTTCAGGAACCCCAGGAAGACACTGAGGAGAAAACAAAAAGAAAAGTAAGGGCTAGAGGTGTTCATTGTGAAATTGTGGGGCAATACCTCATCTAGACTAATTTTATGGCCCTTAGTGAACTGCACAGTATAAATGAGATCAGACACAAGCCCTTTTCTCTGAACAAGTTGATTCTTTTGCTGCATAGCCTGTTGCTTCTCCTCCTGCCAGCACTCTACTTCTCTGAAGAAGCTTGATATCTGTTAAAATCTGTTAAAATCTGTTAAAACAGAGAGTACTTTAAAGCATGCTTTGCAATCAGCAAGGCTATCAGGCTAGACAAAAGAAGGGGGCTCTCAGGAAATCCTGGAATCTTGTCCCTCTGTGCTGATTTCATTGTGTATAAATCACCTGAGCTTTTTTCATCCTTATACTGCATGGATGTAATGGAGGTTAGAAAAATATTTTTTGTTTCATGGACCTGATTTATTAAATATTTGTAACTGCAGAGGAAAGTAAATATTTAACTTATTCTAATTCATTAATACTAAGAAATGGTTTTAAATCTTTAATAGCTGGATATATAGATGCAAAACCTCACGTTAAGTATCTTGGGGATGCCATGAAACCATGGATGTATCTGTCACTTCCTAAATTTAAAACAAGTAGATTGTACAACTCCAGGGTGAAAACGGGTCTCAAGGTAACTTTAAGAGAGAGCAGGGAGCTGCATTCATTACTCTGCTCAAGGTATTTAGAAGCTCGTGTAGGTTAGGTAAGTTGTATAAACTGTTAGACCTTGGCACAAAATTAGAGGAAATATTTATTATTATCTTTATTGGATCCCAAGGCTTCTAATGCAGGTGATGGTGAAGTAGCCTCGTCAGCTGTGGAAAGTTTGTAAAATGTTTGTGTCGTAGGCAGCTGAGCTGCTATGGGGAAGGGATCACTCTATATTTGTTCTGCTCTTATGCTGTTGTCCAGGCACTGTCGACTGGCCAGGAAGAAGATTCTGCAGTTCTTTTCCATGGCAGGGTTTGGGATGGAGCTCTAGGATCCTGGTTCCCACATTGGCCGCAAACCACCACTTCTCTTTTGAAAGGCTTTTTTGAACTCATTTACTCAGATCTGCAAATGTCTGTGTGTTTGCAGCAAGAGCTGTTCAAGGAGCAACAGACTTACCTGGCACACCTGGCTCAACAGCTGGAGGAAGAGAAACAGCGAGAAAAAGAAGCGGACAAGCTCCTCAAAGAAGAAATGGCAAAGGTTTGGGCCAAGAAGGCTGAGCGAACGCGCTTAGAAAAGGAGGCTAGAAAGCAGCTACTGAAAGATGTCCTGGATACAAGACAACTGCAGATGGAGGAGAAGTGTAAGTAATAACAACTTGCCGTCTGTGCACCAAACCTACCGCATGAATGCAAGCCTTGGCAAAGGCAGAGGGAGTCCAGCACGCTGCTTTTGGGAAGACCATCTGGCCCAGCATGCACAGGCTGTATGGCTGCGTGGACAACAATGCTACTGTCTCTCAATCTGCTTCTGAAACTTCACTCCTACAGGCATTCCTTACACTAATTTCCCATTGCTATCACCAGAGCAAAGCCTAGTACTGTAAGGATTGCATGAGCAAGGAGTCATTATTATTAATTATGTTGTTATTATTATTATTATGGAGTTCTGAATGTGAAATCTTTTCTATTCTGAACGGATGAAAAACAAATAAGCTGAGAATACACTCTTCAGAAGCAACAGAACTCAGGCTTGCTATTTAGGCTACTTGGCTTGAATAGAGTCTCACTGTCCCTTCAAGCTTAGCAGTGCTGTTATCTTCTAAAAGATATTTTGGGTTTTTTTTTTTTTTTCCAGCGCAGAGAAATGCAAAGGAGCAGGAAGAACTCGCTCAAGAGAGGAAGTTATTAGCTGAAGCAATCACAGAACTCAAGCATCTAGAAGAAGAAAAATATGCAAGGTATTTTTCTTTTATGCCATCGGTTCTTTTCATTGCAGATCAATCTTTTAAACTTGTGAGTAGGCTAATTCTCATTTTCAGATAACTCTAAGAGCCCTGGGTGGGCTTTCTTGTGTTCAGAGAGGCTCTGCCACCAAGCAGCCTATCAGCTCAATAGCAGCCCTTTTATATTGCAATTGGTATTAAATCACTAATTCTGATCTCATCATACAAATAATGGTGTTTCATTACGTATCCTTGTTTTGGTCTTTTTGGACCATTATGTGACTTACATCGATCCTGTTTATTAACTACGTCCCCTCATACTCTGAGCTGTTATTACAAGTGGCAGAGGTTTGGGGAGGAGGATTAATGAAAGGTTAGCTTGTTACTTACCTAGGAGAACTAGTGTGTTCAGGCTTATTGCTAAACTCCACCCACACACATCCCTTGAACAATCATACAGTTAAAACACCAGCCTGTTGCACATAACCGAGCTGCACGGGGTTCTCCTTACCTCAGGGTGAGAATATAGTTACACGCAGTAGCTGAAATGTTCCTCTGGGTGTCATGCAAAGCCTAGGGCAAAGGGCCTTATTTCACTTACTCAGTTTCCCTTTTGTACTCCGGCCCTTTCTCCACACTTGTCCGAGGGAAGTATCCGAGTAGCTCCTTCCAGAGTCAGTATCTGTTGTGTTCTCGGATGGCTTTATTGGTAACAATCTCCTGGATATGGCAGAAATCTTACCCTTCTGAGGGAAACGTGCTGGGCTTCATTTTGGATATGCTTCACTTAGCGAAGATGGCATTCCGTGGTGTCAGTGCTGCATGGTTCAACTGTGTTGCGTTAGCGCAAAAGTCTTGACTAGACTGTTAGCATTTTAAGTGTCTGTGTGCCTGAGCATGTAGGTAGACTTCCACTGCTGCTCCAGAGGGTAGTGAAAGTAATATATGAGTCTCGAGGTAGAACGGAAGAATTGATTTCGTCTGACAGCCATTTCCTAGAATATCAGTACAACGCCGCAGCTGGAGCCTGCACCCTGCCTTCCCCGTTGGCAGTAACTTGTTATCTTCAGAACGAGGGAGTGGAGTTGGGGTGTAAGGCTGCTGCAGCAGTGAGCCTGAGCTAGGAAAGGACTGAGACCTGACGCTCTTGTTCTCTGTCCTCTCACTGTCACCGTGAGGGGCAGGGAAGGCACGCTGATTACAAGGGCTTGTTCTTGCTCTTTTTTTAAATGTTTTTTTTTGTTAAGCACTGATTTTTCCATCTGCTTTATAATGTACAACAGAATGCAGTTCATTCTCCGAAGAACCTAAGGTTAGCATGTAGCATTTGGTTAATAGTGGTAGTTATTCTTAACACCTAAAAGGAGTTTTGAACAGTTCTTTGCTCTAAGGTTGAATGCTAACAGATTAAATAGTAACAATACTAAAAAAAAAAAGTTGTGGTTTTTTTTTTCCCACCCTTCATAAATAAGCTAATCATATGTCATTTCCAGAAAAGTAAAAGAAGCAAAAGAATACCAAGAGCAACTCAGGGCTCAAATTGCCTATCGACAACAGGCCCGTGATGCTGAGGAAGAAGAGAAGCAGCGAGAATATGAATCGGGTTTAGCAGCAGAGCGAGCTTACCAAGAAAGGGTACAGGATATTCTATCGAGGCCTTGTGAGAAACTAGCAAAGACCCACCCTTTGAGAAGAAAACTAATGTCTAACTCTCAAGAAGCAGCTCACTTGGTTGCCTTAAAAAACATTTTCTAAGGGTCTTTATAACTGACTTGAGTTAGCAGACCCCTCTCCGCTGTGGTGCTCAAAATATTTCACTCGCAAATACAAGAAACATGGTATTTTTAAAGGTTATTTTTTCCCTATTAGGTTTTCTTTGACAAAATGACTGATCCAAATCAAAGTGTTTGACATTTTAATACAAGAATACTTGTATGTTCTCTGCAGTATAGTCATGTATTATTATGACATGGATGATATGCAGGCATTCTTTAAAATCTGTACAAAGAAAACTTTGTAGAAGAGTTTCAGCAAACTTTTATTAAAATGCTTTTCAAACTGCAAATATTTGCAAAACCTTTTTTGTATTTAGACAAAAAGTACTTGGTGACACATCTTCATTTTCCTTGTTAAATGTAAAACTATGAAGCTATTTTACTATGGGCTAGACAGTGAAGAGCTGATACTGCTTTGCTTATATTCTGATAGCTATTGAATGATCTGTGGAATATTAGAGTCCCAAAGCTAGTCTGCGAGACCTCTGCTTGGACAGATTTAATTGTGCAGGACTGAAGTCATCCTTTTCTTGCAAAAAGGGTTATTATTTATCATTTTGATGGCAACTCTGCCTCTTTGGATTGCCTTGGATTGCCAATGCCATAGTCTGAACACACAGAATGGGGAGGGGCGGAGCACCAACAGTATTTTAAGACAGAGCAATACAAAAAATGGCCAGATGTCAGCAGGACGGTCTCGAAAGGGTTTTGGCAGTGGGGAGAAGGGACACCTCCTCACTGCTCTCTCAGCCCCCCACGTTAATGTCCAGATTGCCCTTTATGCAGGAGGAGCAGCGGGTGGCACAAGGACGACAGGTGGGAGCAATCCTGCTTCTCCCCATGGCGCTGCCCTCAACCAGCTCCCTGGTATGTAATTTGTTAGTTTTTCCTCTGTGCTTTTCAGAGGAGGGAAGTGAGGAATCCATTTATAACCTCATACCCTTTCTTGCTCATAGACCTTGCAGCGTTCGGAAATGCTTTATCTTCTTTCTCACATTTTTCCATTTCAGCGTTTGCTGCTGCTTATCTGCAGATGTTTCTCTCTCTCCTCCTTCAGCTTTTCGAGCTGCACCATCTTTCCTCCAGCCCCTGCTTTTCCACCTGTTTCTTCTCCAACTTTCATTTCTCACTAAGCACTTCCTCTACCTTCTTCCTCCTCCTTACCTTCCTCTTTCAGTGTTTGGCTCCCTGTTGGCGAGTACCAGGACTCTTGTGTTTTTGTTGGGGGGGAGCATGAACAGATGCACGGAGAAGCTGATAAATGGCTGGGATTGGAGTCCAGGAGCCCCAGCTCCAGGCCCCTTGGAATGAATCGGGAATAAACTGCCGGCACAGCCACCTCATCTTCTTGGTTTAAAGCAGACACCAAGTTGACAAACGCTTTTTGTCTGTGGAGAAAGCCGTACAGCTGTTTGCAAAAGGCCAGGTAGAGAAATATTAATTTGAAACAGCATCAGTGATCTTAGCAGAGCAACCTAGCTAATTATGGGTGTAAATGGTGGAAGAACCTGGCCCTAAGATGTTGCCCTGCTGAGGGGCACAGCACTGAGTGTCGTGGGGTTTTATCCTTGCTTACAGACAAAACTTCTCTGAGAGCAGCTTCCTGAGACAGCAGATGGAAGAGGGACAAGTTCACACCATCCAGACAGGTGACTAGACAGAGCAGAGCGGATCCTCTTCGTGTCTTGTTCCTTGAATCACTTGTATCCAAACAGGATCTGTCTCCTACAGACATCAAGAAAGGAAACGTTCATAAACGTGAAAACATTGCGAACCGGGAGAGGTGGGTGGTTAGGCAGGGTGTCCAACCCTTACACAGTGCTCTTCAGCAGCCACCTCCAAAGCCATACAGAGGACTTCAGAGCCGCTTCTCCTATTTTGCAGGTGGGAAAGGCCGTCCCAGGTAATGGAAATAGTTTCGTCAGTCCAGAGAGCTCAGGTAGTCATAGTCTCTGCTCTCACCGCTGGGTCAAATTGGCAGAAAGATTAAGAGATTAATTTCCTGGTCTGCCACAGACTCCTGGTGTGGCCCTGCACAAGCAATGTAGATTTTTCTTTACTACTGTGACCCCTCTTTGAAAAATGAACATAATAGCACATTCAGAATTCCAGGATTAATTAAAGCGTGTTATTAAAGGCTGCAACGCTGTTGTTGGGTACACCCAATATGAGTGACAAAAAATACCACATTGGTGAGTTAGTGAATTTGAGCCATCCAGAACCATAATAAATCTTATTTTAATACAATAATAACTCAGAAGAGGTGGTCAGAGCTATCAAGCATTTATAAAGTGTCTGAGCTCCTGCTCCCGGAGGCAAAATTCCTCTGCAATGAACATGAAGTCTGTACAAAAATAAAAGATCAGACTGGAAGAGGTTTGCCTCCAGCAGAAATGAATTCCCATGGGATAACGGGCAACCAAACTCTTCTGAGAGAAAACTGGTGGTCAATGAACGTCTTGCTGGGGCTGACCCCTTTGCTGCTGAGTGCTTTGTAGACTTCAGGTTGGTCTAGAAGAACAGATAAAGCTCATACCAGGCTGCTGAGCAGCTGGGTGGGTCAGCAGACTCTTTTAGAACATCCTCTCCATGCCCCTACGTAAGAATGATTTTCTGTGTCAAGACTGAAGAGTTTCCTTAATTGTGGTATTTCCCCTGAGTGTTTGAGGGATCCTGGAGCCAAACCATCTATTAAACCGAAAGCGCAGCGACACTGCTGATAAGTGAAGCAGCCTGGTCCATGGCTGGGTGACTTCTCCCTGCACCGGGGCTGTGAGCAACCTGGAGATGAAACCACTGGCATTTAAAAACCAGGCAGTTACATCCTCTTCATTTATACAGGTACTAGAGCTTTGCAAAATATGCTTTCCTGT